ACTGATTCCAGTTGCGGGCCATGTCTTCATGAGTGTAAAACTATTGGCACTCCTCATCTTTGGGTCCCCATCCTGGAAGACGTACGGGTCCAACAGCGGCTAAACACGACACCAGCGATTTCATGTGCTGCTACCAAGTGAAAGGCTGACCACGACGCGGTCGCTTCTAGCCAGGTCCTTGACGGGCGAATAGAGCGCGACGCGGTAGACGCTTAGCTGCCATGCATAGGACGTGACCGAGCCATCTCAACTGGCGCAGCAAAACCCGTTTGTTGAAGGGAATGCTCGCATTCCCCAAGATGCGACGTTGAACGTCATTACTGTTAACTCGATGTTGCCACCAAACACGATCAGTCCTTCTTAAGCAACCGTTATCGAAGGCAGAAAGACGACACATGTCTTCCACGCGAATCGTCCAGGACTCGCTCCCATACAATAACCCGGAGCGAACAGGTGCGCTGTAAACTCGGCTCTTTAGCGACAATGGGACCTCGCGACGAAGCCACAAGTGCCTCAGATTGGCAAATGCTGATCGGCCTTTAGCGATGCGAAGAGAAATTTCTTTGTTGATAGTGCCGTCAGCAGAAACACAGCTCCCAAGGTAGACGAAACTATCTACCTGTTCAAGTTGTGCACCTTGGAGAGTGAGCACGGGAGCAGGTGAAAGCCAATCCTTGAGCAGTACTTTACACTTCGATGGGGCAAAGCTCATGCCATACTTAGATGCTTCAACCGCCAAACGATCCAGAATGAGTTGCATACCCTGAGGATCGTCACCAAGTAAGGCGATATCATCAGCATAATCTAAGTCGGTCGCGCGCTCACCCGGTAGAAGCTCTAGGCCAAAATGTTGGAGACCTTCTAGAGCATTCGACAGAAATTCTTCGATTGCGAAGTTTAAGAGGAATGGGGACATAGGGCAGCCCTGTCGCACACCCCTATTGACAGTTAATTGCGAGGAAAGCTTTCCATAAACCCTCACTCTGCCGGATGTGTAAAGATATAGTGCCCGTAAGTTGGCGGTATATTTCTCTGGCACCCCGTTCTTTAGTAAGCAACGCCATAAAGTAGATCAATCAACGGAGTCAAAAGCGGCACGTATGTCTAGGAATGCAACGATAGTGGGCCTGTGATAAATGTGGTGATGTTCGAGGAGTTGGCGGAGCGTGAAGATTTGATCCACGCATCCACGGCCAGGACGGAAACCAGTTTGTTCTACACGGTAGAATGATTCACGTATTGGGGATAGTCTACGGAGCAGAGTTGATGCCAATAGCTTGGAGGCAACCGAAATAAGACTAATCCCGCGATGATTTACACATGAAGTGCGAGCGTCTTTCTTGAAAATCAGGACAATAACTGATTCGCCCCAAGAGGAAGGCACTTTCTCTTCATGCCAAATTTTTGAGAACAGCGAGGTCAGCTGGTTAATGATCGCCACACCGCCGTACTTGAACAGCTCCGGAGGAAATCCGTCTGAGCCGGCAGCCTTGAACCGCTTCAAGCGTCGAATCTCGAGGCAGACTTCTGCTTCGCTGGGTGGATTCAGAGGGACGAGCCAGGGTGGACAACAAGGTGTACTGCATGTACCGATGGACGGCGGAGGTCAGTTGAACTGTGAGTGAAAGTGCTCAGCCCAGCGGTCCATACGCTTCTGTTGGTTAGTGATCGGAGACTCATCCACCTCCCAAATGACCTCACTGACACCAGGCTTCCTGAGGCCAGTGGACCGAATGAGTTGGAAGAGCTTGCGAGTGTTGTCGAAGAGGGCAGCGGTCCCCATCACTAAAGCACACTCAGACCACCATGTCTCGCGATCCTTGCGTAGGCTTTGCTTGAGCAGCCGGTTGGTAGGACGGCGCCGCTCGTTGCAATCTGATTTCGCCTGGATATCTTTGATATCTAGGGACAAGAACGGTGAGCCGCCAATAAACATGTCGGGGCTCTAACAATGGACGTAATGTGAAGTGGTGGTCAATGCAGCCTCGATTTCGACGAAACCCGGCTTGGTCCTCGTGTATCTGGCTTTCACGGGTGCCAGTCAGTCTATGGAGGACGACTGAGACAAGTACCTGACTCATCTGTTACTGCCGTATTCGGAACGGGAGCCTCCCTTGCAAATTGGAACTGCCACGGAGCGGCTCCAGTCTGTTGAGACAGACTCCTGCTCCAAAACTTTCATTAGCAACTCGTCTAAATGATGTGCAAGAGCGGATCTCCCAAATTTGAAGAATCCTGGATAAAGTCCTTCTGCTCGGGCAGCTTTGTTCAAGTTTACGTGTCTGATCTAACGTTCGATTTTTGTGCGCGAGGGTGCATCCAAGGGAACTGCCCATGGAGTAGGGGGAACATTGGCCGATAGAGAAACTGGCAAATCTGACTGATTAAACTGCCTCTCAAAGTGTTCGGGCCAACGCTCCAAGCGCTTTGACAAGCTGTGGATTGGCTGTCCACTCATCGCTTATGGTGTTCCTAACACCAGGTTTCCTGCTGCCCGTTTCTCATGTCACACCGAATAACCCGATGGTCACCAACGGTAGCGGCTGTTTCCATCTCTGAGGCACGATGAAACCACAAGGATTCGCGGTCTCTCTTCAAGCTAGCACGTAGTTTCGCCCTGAGATCTTTGCGAGTCTCATTGTATTCGCTTCCAGCCGGAACACATCGGAGAGCATCCATAAGTTCCAGAAACTGCATCGAGACCCAATGTCCAGGTTGACAAGTTGATTTGATTTACCACATGAATGCATGCCTGCTGCTAGTAATGTCTGACGGATATGCGTTTGATGATCTTCTCCTGTGTCCCAGTTGCCTCTACTCAACTCAGTTGCCAGCGCACTTTGATACGCATTCAGGATATTTGGCCTCGGCAGCTGGCAAATATCCATGCGTTCACGTCTTTACGGACGTCCACCGAAACGCACCCGGAGGTCGTCGTAAACAAGTGCGTGGTCAGAGTCCACGCTCGTGCTTTAAATTGAGCGACAGTTTTGAACACATCCTCACCGGCGGTAACTGATCGCATTTTAATGGATTTGCGTCCATGGCTG